ATGTGTATGTACATAAATAATCATTCCATGTCTATGTTAGGGTTCTTTAAACAGCTAAGGATTCTTACTCCAAGATGACGACCTAGGTCTAACCTTGCCAGACTACTCACCAGGGAGGCCTGGATTTAGCCCAAGACTACGATGAACTTTTGAGTACTTCCTATGCTCCAGGCTTCCCGAGTGCTCTGTGAGGGTTACCTAACTCTGCTGCCCTGCGTACTGCGCTGCCCCCACTTCACGGCACAGGGGGCTGGGTGACCCTCCCAACACGGCAACATGGCGGGCGGGCTGTGCACCCAGGCAGTGCACACCTGGAGCCTGGGTGCGGTGCAGAGTGGGGCGGCTCCACGTGGGGCTGGGGCTGCTCTTTTTTCTTTTCTTGAGGTTTTTGCTGTAGGGCGTGTGTGCTCACCAGACAAAGAATGAGAATTCAACCCCCAGGAAGGATGGCCATGCCACAATCCCTTTTCCTCCATTTTTTAAAAAGTTTGGGTGTGCACGCACATGCACTTGGCTTATTTTCCAAGCTGCCAAGTCCAGACTTGAACCGCATTGTCCCCATGATGTCCTCCTTAATACTGACTTGCAGAGTTGGAGAAAATGCTGGAACGCGGGGAAGGTTGGAGCCAGCTGGTGGTGTGGTGGTTGAGGTGGCTGAATCCCACATGGCTGACTGCGTGGTGTGAGTCCTGCACCTAGTAGCTCGGAAAGCAGGCAGAAGAGTGTGTGCGTGTGCTCCCCGAATCCCGGGAAGAATGGAGAAGGGACTGCTGAGTGGCCATACCTCCTGGGGATGCTGTCCCACATTCCCTGTGTCCCTCGCTCTTGGCTCTTTCTCCAGTGAGTGCATGCACCCTCTAGCAAATTAAAAGAGGGAGGTTGGCTCTTTGTTTTGCTAGTCACGATCAGCAGTTATCTCTGCCTCAGTAACTCAGTTTACAGGGTGAATGTGCTCCAAATCGCAGTGTGCAAGGACATCTAAGATCAACATCCCTTCCCAAGACACATGCCATGAGCACACACCTGCTACGAGCAAGTGCCTTCCTAATTAAGGCTTCAGGCGCAGCAATAAGGGAGTGTGACCCAGGAAATTACGGGTGGTGTGGGCCTCGCCTCGATGCGGAGTCAATTCCCGCAGGTGGCCCAGCTGAGGCCTTCGCTGATGTGACAATTCCCACCTGCTGACGCAAGTTTGGAAAAAGCATCCACTAGCCGGGCACTGAACCTGTGCTCATGCAGGTCTGTGAAGAGACGGTGTCAGGTGGGGAAGGCCGGAGCGCTGGCCTTTACGGTGTGGGCCTCCACCTGGCAGATTCTGAGAGTGGCCACTAATATTCAGGGCAAAGAAGAATACCTGCATGGGGGTTAAAAGTCAGGTCATTTACACTCCTGACCTTATCGAAGCTCAAGTTCCTTTAAGGCCAAGGAAGAAAGGCGCACCGTGAAGGATGAGACCCAGTGCATGTCTTTCGCCTGGTTGATTTTCAACTCGACAGGTCCAGGACTTGAATCATGGTAAGCCATGGGGGAGTCCAACACCTTTAACCATTATGCGGCCCCAGAAAACCATATACACTACACAAACGTGAAGAGCTCAGAAGTTTGGTTAGAAGAGATTTGGGACTAGCACTTGGCATAATGGCTATGTCACTGGACTCTCATGTAGTCGACCACGGTTGGAGTCCTGAACCTGGTGGCTTAAACTCATGCCGGGGCGTGTGCGTGCGTGCCCAAGATCTGGAGAGGAGAATGGAGGAGAAGGGATTGCGGCGTGACCATCCCCCCTGGGGGGTGATTTCTCGCTTTCTCTTTCTCTGTCTCTCTCTGTCTTTCTGGTGAGCACATGTGCCCTATAGGAAAAACCTCTCAAAAAACAAAAAGAGGTTTGACTACAATGTGTATGTACATAAATAATCATTCCATGTCTATGTTAGGGTTCTTTAAACAGCTAAGGATTCTTACTCCAAGATGACGACCTAGGTCTAACCTTGACAGACTACTCACCAGGGAGGCCAGGATTTAGCCCAACTCACCAGGGAGGCCTGGATTTAGCCCAAGACTACGATGAACTTTTGAGTACTTCCTATGCTCCAGGCTTCCCGAGTGCTCTGTGAGGGTTACCTAACTCTGCTGCCCTGCGTACTGCGCTGCCCCCACTTCACGGCACAGGGGGCTGGGTGACCCTCCCAACACGGCAACATGGCGGGCGGGCTGTGCACCCAGGCAGTGCACACCTGGAGCCTGGGTGCGGTGCAGAGTGGGGCGGCTCCACGTGGGGCTGGGGCTGCTCTTTTTTCTTTTCTTGAGGTTTTTGCTGTAGGGCGTGTGTGCTCACCAGACAAAGAATGAGAATTCAACCCCCAGGAAGGATGGCCATGCCACAATCCCTTTTCCTCCATTTTTTAAAAAGTTTGGGTGTGCACGCACATGCACTTGGCTTATTTTCCAAGCTGCCAAGTCCAGACTTGAACCGCATTGTCCCCATGATGTCCTCCTTAATACTGACTTGCAGAGTTGGAGAAAATGCTGGAACGCGGGGAAGGTTGGAGCCAGCTGGTGGTGTGGTGGTTGAGGTGGCTGAATCCCACATGGCTGACTGCGTGGTGTGAGTCCTGCACCTAGTAGCTCGGAAAGCAGGCAGAAGAGTGTGTGCGTGTGCTCCCCGAATCCCGGGAAGAATGGAGAAGGGACTGCTGAGTGGCCATACCTCCTGGGGATGCTGTCCCACATTCCCTGTGTCCCTCGCTCTTGGCTCTTTCTCCAGTGAGTGCATGCACCCTCTAGCAAATTAAAAGAGGGAGGTTGGCTCTTTGTTTTGCTAGTCACGATCAGCAGTTATCTCTGCCTCAGTAACTCAGTTTACAGGGTGAATGTGCTCCAAATCGCAGTGTGCAAGGACATCTAAGATCAACATCCCTTCCCAAGACACATGCCATGAGCACACACCTGCTACGAGCAAGTGCCTTCCTAATTAAGGCTTCAGGCGCAGCAATAAGGGAGTGTGACCCAGGAAATTACGGGTGGTGTGGGCCTCGCCTCGATGCGGAGTCAATTCCCGCAGGTGGCCCAGCTGAGGCCTTCGCTGATGTGACAATTCCCACCTGCTGACGCAAGTTTGGAAAAAGCATCCACTAGCCGGGCACTGAACCTGTGCTCATGCAGGTCTGTGAAGAGACGGTGTCAGGTGGGGAAGGCCGGAGCGCTGGCCTTTACGGTGTGGGCCTCCACCTGGCAGATTCTGAGAGTGGCCACTAATATTCAGGGCAAAGAAGAATACCTGCATGGGGGTTAAAAGTCAGGTCATTTACACTCCTGACCTTATCGAAGCTCAAGTTCCTTTAAGGCCAAGGAAGAAAGGCGCACCGTGAAGGATGAGACCCAGTGCATGTCTTTCCCT